GACGTATTTCAGCTGGAAAGGAGAATTTTACGAGCAGTTCGAAGGGGCAGCCATGGGATCTCCACTATCGCCAGTTATAGCTAATTTCTACATGGAATTATTCGAAGAGGACGCTTTGAAGAAGAGCCAGTGGAAACCAAAACTATGGCTCCGATATGTGGATGACACGTTTGTGATATGGCAACATGGTCAAAAACGGCTCCAAGAGTTCTTGGATCACTTGAACTCTCAAAATCCTATGATTAAGTTCACCATAGAAACAGAAACTGCTAAAAAACTACCTTTCCTAGATGTGTTGGTCACCAGGACGACAAATGGAGATATAGAACTTGGGGTATATCGAAAGAAGACCCATACCAACAGGTATTTACAAGCATGTTCACATCATCATCCCCAACAGAAGAGGTCCGTGATCCGTACATTATTTCAGCGAGCAGCGAGACTATGTGAAGGAGAGAACTTAAAGAAGGAGCAACATTTTCTACGAGGCGTGCTGCAGAAGAATGGATACACTTCGAGGGACATCAACCAGGCCATCAAGCAGCGAAAGCAAAAAGAGGACACGGTAAGTACAAAACCACTTGGATTTATCTGTCATCCCTATGTTTCAGGTGTAACGGAACGAATTGCTAGGCACCTCAAGAAGAACGACATTGTAGTGCGGTACAGCACGGTCAGCAAAATTCGGAACACACTCCCGATAGCCAAGGACAAACTAACTCCATTACCGATTTTTGATCTCGTCGCTTCGAACCAATTTCTGAAGAAGGTTGCAACATGGCATCCGAAACGTCAAACCTTTTATTAAAAGACGCACGGCAAAACCCGAAAGTTTCTAGTGTTAGTTCTAGTTTTAGTTTAATTATTATTATTGATTCAGTTTTAATCGAAATTATTAACTGAGCAATCTCCTCTTCCGATGTCAAGGCAAAACTTAGAGGTATAGTGACAAACAACATTCGATGATTGTTATAGAAATCCTGCAAATCACGATCACCCGAGGAATTAACCTGTCTCGATTGAAAATAACAATTCATTTGATTAGGTGCACCCAAAGTGTCCGAAATGTTTGGACGTCTGATAGGAGTAACACCCAGGGATTTAATAGAACTCCATAATTTACGAGAATCGTTTCCAGCAAATAGGTGTGTAAGAAAAGCGCGCATTTCGCGAAGCACGGACGAGTTGGTAAAATTTCTCAGAGATTTATAATAATCGAAATGATGTGGATTTTTAGTCTTTTTAAAATTTAAGTAAGCTTTATCTCGAAGTCTCATTAACATTCTGACATTATCAGTAACACCAGGGCAGTAATGTAAGTAACGAAAGGGGGCATAAAACTATCCCATTTTCAACAATATACACTACTCTCCAAAATTATCGCACCACCTAAATTATGCATTAAGTTTAAAGATGGATTTTGATGATTCTTTCTTCACGGTATAGGTTGATTTTTATGGAAGAAATGGTTTCTGACAATTGTCAACGTTTTTCCCATATACGGGGTGTAAAAAGAAATGTATGTTTTTTCTTCTAATTTTGCAACACCCTGTGGAATTTATCAGAAAGAACCGCTACATTCCATTTACATTCCGTTAGAATGGCAACCCTTCTCTACATTTTCGTTCAAGAATCATCTCGATATCTCTTTTATCAAGGAAGATACACATTTTTTAAGTTTGACTTAATTTTGTTGAAATATAGTCCTTACTAATGAAACAAGCAGGCTATGAAATATCAAACAGTTTGACAGAAATGCTTGTCAATTTTATTTACGCATTTAGCAAGTTGCTGCTTTGGGTTATTAAGTGTTTATTTGACATGGACCGTATTTCAAGACATTTAAACCGCGATGAGTGTGTTGAGGCAGTTACTTTAGCCAATGAAGGAATAAGTTATCGTGAAATAGGCTTGAGATTAGGAGTTTCTCATACAACAATATCACGTGCCGTTCAACGATTTCAAGAGACAAATGATCATACAAGACGACCTGGACAAGGAAGAAGGAGAGTCACAACACTACGCCAAGATCGTTTTATTAGACTTCGTGCTTTAAGGGAACGTTTTGTTACAATGAGAAACTTACAGATACAAGTAGCAGATGTTCATAATATTCGAATTAGTACTAACACTGTACAAAGGCGTCTCGCCGAAGGTGATTTGCATGCAAGGATTCCTGCCAGAGCACCAAATTTAAACGCAAATCATCGTAGAAGGAGATTGCAATTTGCCAGAGAACATCTTGACTGGAATGCTGATGACTGGGAACAAGTACTGTTCACAGATGAATCAAGGTTTTGTTTATACAGCTCAGATAGACGTTTAAGAGTAATTCGACGGCCCAATGAACGCTATGCACAGTGCAACATACGACCGACAACTTTATTTAATGGAGGATCTGTAATGGTTTGGGGTGGAATTTCGCTTACAGCACGAACAGACCTTGTTTCTTTGCGAAGAGGTTCATTAACAGGTGAAAGGTATATTACAGACATTTTATCGGAACACGTGGTACCCTTTGCTCCTTACATAGGAAATAATTTTTTATTAATGCATGATAATGCAAGACCTCATGTTGCCTATACGGTCCGTGACTATTTGGATGAAGTTGGTATACAAACCATGGACTGGCCACCCTGTAGCCCTGATCTCAATCCAATAGAGAATTTATGGGATAATATTGATCGTCAGTTAAGGGGCCGACATCCACCACCTATCGTTTTGGACGACGTTGAGAGGATGGTAAGAGAGGTTTGGGATGCAATTGATCAAGATCAAATTCGACGCTTGATTTTAAGTATGCCTCGTCGCTGTGAAGAAGTGATACGTAAGAGAGGCGGAAATACACGTTATTAGGTGATTTTGAGAGAATTGATTAAGGATTATGTAGTGTTTTTTAGTTTTCACCTACTTGTTTAAAATGTTAATAAAAATTCGTTACATTTAAACTTGTGTATCTTCCTTGATAAAAGAGATATCGAGATGATTCTTGAACGAAAATGTAGAGAGGGGTTGCCATTCTAATGTAATGTAAATGGAATGTAGCGGTTCTTTCTGATAAATTCCACAGGGTGTTGCAAAATTAGAAGAAAATACATAAATTTGTTTTTACACCCCGTATATGGGTAAAACGTTGACAATTGTTAGAAACCATCAACACATTTCTTCCTTAAAAATTAACCTATATCGTGAAGAAAGAATCATCAAAATCCATCCGTTGATTCAAAAAAAAATACCTTTAGACTTAATGCATAATTTTGGAGAGTAGTGTATTTCCTAATTAACCCGTGATCGCTTGCGGGCGAGTTGCCATATCAATGCTGTGTTGATCCAACACTACCCCATTTTTATCAGATGAAGTCGTAGATCTTTTGACTGATTAAGCCAAGGTTACTCACATTATATGAATCTGAAATTAGTGATTGTATCGCCACGGTTTTATCAACTGGAGTTGCCGATGTTTTGACTCAACTTAAAACTGATTGTCATATTGCAGCATCCTAGAATAGATTTATTGTACAATGACATCCAATTCTTTTACAACATACTCACCAAACCTTTTTGACACATATCCCTATCGATATAAATCTCTTTGGAGTTTTCATTTCATTCTGATTTCCACGATTCTCTTTAGGTATCTGTCGTTGAATTTCTTTTTCTTTATTATTTAAGGCTATTCTCCCATATTTCTATATTTCGTTCTAATTGACGTTGGATTTTGGCTATTAGGAAGTTGTTGAGTTTCCCCTTTTTATTTGTTGTTGTTTCGTACTTAAGGAATAAAAATAACAATAAAATTTATTTGAAATGTTTTTTTTATTAAAAATTTAATAAATAAAAAACTACATATATATATTTTTATATATGATTACATATTACTTTTTAAAAAAAGATTACGTTATTACAATATACTTTTTTAAAACTATTTCAATAATAATAATTAAACATCCATTCTTTTTTTTTTGTCGTATCAATTTTTTAATATTTACGGGCGAAATTTTGCGAGGACGAAAAACAAAACTTAAACTTTTTACATTTACATTGGTAAATTAAGTTAATTACAAAAAAAAAAAATAAAAATTTAAAGTAATCACTAAAAAGAATAATAACTTAACAACAATCCAGTCAAAAAGTTTCTAGTTGTGCATTATTTTTATATTTTTCATTCTTTCTATATTTATTCATTTAGTTCTTTAAGGAAAACAAAAATTTTTTCTTTGTTGTTTTATTTTTTTTCTTTTTGAATCTGTAGGCACTCAACAAATAAACTCTATAAATATATATAGTGTATATATATAATTTATGTATATGTATAGTTCAGGTTATTATTATAAAATAGGAAAGTGTTTTCATATTTTTATTTTTATTTTCATCATCATCGTTTTTTTTTATGTATTAATAGTTAAAGTTAATATAAACAAAACGCAATATAATAAGTAAAAAATAAGGATTATTTCCGAGTCGTTTTCGTCGTCATAAAAATTAATCAGTCCTTTCTTTAATTAAAAAAAAAAAACATCGGGAATTTAAATAATTCTTGATGTTTTTTTTTATTTTTCGATTACTTAGTTTAATATTTTTCGAAATACTGCAAAAAAAAAACAAATTTTTTTAAAATTTTTCTTTTCCAAATCATCGTATTAAAAGAATAAATTAATTTTCTTAAAGCACTAATTAATAGGATTGGTTTGTGTGTTTGTGAAGTGTTTTAATCAGTTATTTTCTTTTACATAAATCAGTGCTTACATAATTCTCTTCTTTTTCCGCTTATTTTCTTCCCTATTTTCGTTTTGATATGTCACTAAGAAAACGGTTTTTTAATAATAATAATCTTATTCTATCGAATGCGAATGTTTATGAACTTGATTTAAACTTTATAAAAAAAATTGAAAGAATTTACCGTTTGGGATTGAAACGGTTAAGAAAAATTAAGAGACTTTTCAATCAGTTTTTTTAAACAATTTAATGCTACGAAATCCATAATAAAGTTAATAAAAGTTATAAAAATCTTAACCTAGATTTTAAAAAATTTAAAGAATTAAATGTTTTGTTCATTTAACCCATCAGGTACAAATTGTAGATCTGATTATTGATTATAGATAAAAAAATAATACAAAATAAAGTTATTTTTAAATAGGTTATAACAAAAAAACTGATTGAGTCCTCTCAAAACAATATTAGGATTCAACAAATAAAAAAATAAAAATAAAATGGAAAGAAATAGATTCGTGATTGAAAGAGAAAAAAATTTGTTTTAGAAAACTTTGGTCTACGGAAAATACTGAGAGGGTTGCCATGTTAATTTAATTTTCGTTAATAAGTCGTTATTTATTAAATTAGCTCACTTGGTTGCAGGCCCAGCGGCAGCAATCAACTGGTCGGAATGATCTGCGTTATTATTAACCCTTCCGTGTTCACCACCACCCCCGGAACCGGACGAATTACTCGATTTCTCCTTTTTAATGATCGTGATATCCGGGCAATTAGCCAAAACCGAATTCGACGTATTGTTCGAATTATTCGAATAAGTCTTTAACGTCGCGTTCGCCAACGGATCCGTCAACATTTCACTCTCCTCCGATTCGGAAGCGTCCGATTTGCCGCCGTCCCCGAGCCCGGCCAAAGCCGAGTTTTGGGCCACCTCGCTATCTAGCACCGACATTGAGATCAAATAATTCGATAGAGTCTGTGGTGTCACGTTTAACTGTTCGGCCGCGCGGAATAATGTGATTTCTTTGCGTTTTAATTTTAATAAGACGTCCGTTGGACCTTGTTCTGACCAAAATGCCAATCGACCGCCTGGCGAAGCATTTGGTATTCTAAAAAATTAAAAAACAATTAATTTATCATCTTGGTGAAGTTATTTAAAATGAGTCCAAACGCGATCTCAAAGAATATATTGGTGGGGGGAGTCGTCACGTCATAACATTTTCAATTAAAATTTGTAATTTACTATAAATAATAATTTATTAAATAACATTTTATTTTATTTTTTAAGTTATACATTTGTAACTTAAATCAAAAATTATCGACTGAATTACTCTAGATTTGACTTGGTACAAAATATATTTAGCTGTTATTTATTGATTTAAATGCATTATTGCATTTTTAATTAAACTAAATCAAGTGTTGCTTCATGGACGGAGCAAACGTCAACACACTTACACGTTTGATATAAGAGAGCATAGGTCGTTTCTATTTTTTTTTAATTAGGAAATACAATCGATTCCGCTTAATTGGGACCCCGTTAATTGAAACAGCCGCTTATTTGGGACAAATTTCAAAGAACGAGATCGAAACTTTAATTTATGCATACTTCGCTTTATAAGGACAGTCGCTTTATTAATTAAGAGGAATCGACTATATAGCATTAAAAATGGGATAATTTTGTGTTGACATAGTATAGATATCTTTGAAAATTGACTGAATTCCTCTTTTTCTTTAGTGTAGCTCGTTGACATCACATTTTCTTAAATTCTCCTCATTTATCTTCACTAACAAGTAACACTAGAGAAGTGCCATTTGGCGATATTCTTGAAATTTGGGAAGTAAGTAGTGTATAGAAAAATATTCGACACGTATATTATCATTTCTGCCCGATCGCCGTTTTAAAGGTAGAAATCACCCTTTCCGATTTTGGAGATAAGTGCGATGATTTTACGAATTATTTTTACGATTGTTGCGAAATTATGTCACTACTATCCGTACAAAAACTCAAGGCCCTTCGCTTTAAGCGGCCCATACACGACGACTCTTGCAGCGTCGCATGCAGCGACGCCAAGAGTCGAGCCGCATGAAGCATCGTGTGTAGGGAAGCGCCAGGACTCATGCGACGGCATCCGTGGCAGGCTCCGACGCCTTGCAAGAGTCAACGTGTATGGGATTGCGACGCAAGGTTTATATATAAGAGGTTGTCTAGGTTCGTACGCAATCATACTGCGCATTACGTCACATGTGGAAAATAATACCGCCAAGCAATTCAAATTAAACAAAGGCATGGAGCACCATATGACCATGAGGTTGCGTGCGCAATCCGTGATCGCTTACGTCACGAAACACTCCTGCTCTTGCCCCTCGCCCACAAACTAAAATCAAAGTATTGCAGCATAGGAACTTAGACAACCTTTAATATATAAACCTTGATTGCGACGTGCATACGATACCGAAAGTATCGCTTTAGTTTATTTCCAACGTCCATCGAAATGGCATCGTTCGCCGAAAAAGATTTTTGGAAAAAATTTATAAACCTATATAGAATGTACCCATGTTTATGGGACTCAAAACCAAAAAATTACATCCACAGAAACTGAAAAACTACCGCCATAAATGAGCTTGTAAAATTGTCTGGCAGTATTTAGCTTTCTGCCAGCAATATTTAATTTTCTACAAGCAGTATTAGTATTCAACCAATTTGTAGTCTATTGACAGCAGTACCTAGCCTTGTATAAACAATATCTATCTTTTTAAGCAGTTTCTAGTATTGCATAGGTAGTATTCGTCTTTCGCAAGGAATTTTTGATCGTCTATAGAAAGTATTTAGTCTTCTGCAAGCAGTATTAGTATTCTGAAACCAATTCCTTGGCTATTGGTAGCAGTACCTAGCCTTCCATAAACAATATCTATCTTCTGCAAACAGTTTCTAGTATTGTATAGGTAGTATTTGTCTTCCGCAAGGAGTTTTTAGCATTTTGCTGGCAGTATTTAGTTTTCTACAAGTAGTATTGGTATTCTGCAACCAATTTGTAGTCTATTGGTAGCAGTACCTAGCCTTCCATAAACAATATCTATCTTCTGCAAACAGTTTCTAGTATTGTATAGGTAGTATTTGTCCTTTAGTCTTCTGTAAGTAGTATTGGTATTCTGCAGCCAATTTCTTGGCTATTGTCTGGCTCTGGCGGCACCGCCGCAAGAGTCATCGTGTATGGGCCGCTTTAGAGATTGATATCTTCGCAACCGCTCGATAAAAAAGATTGCGACAAAGTTTCTTGTAATCACTGACCATTTTTACGTAACATATGTTAATTTGCAATTTTTCGGATCCACGGTTTTTTTTTATCGCGAGTTAAATAAAAAAAGTACCCGATTTTTTACGGTAATCAACTTTGTCAAATTTGCGCTTTTTTTCTCAAAAACTATCGTACGAAAAAATTTTAATTTTGAACAGGTGGTAGCCTGATGTGTTCTTAACCCTTGAATAGACGCGTATGGTACTGGCAGTCCCATGCTTTATCATTTCTGTAATTACGTAAAAACTATTACAGCTACGGCATTGTGGATTTTTGAGATCTCAAAATGATGTTTTAGGAACCCTCTACATGAGTTACAAACGAAGGCTCAGTTTTATTACTTTGTAAACACTCAAACAAGGCCGCGTTTTACGTCTCCTTTTTTCGGCGAATGTTGATCCGGTAGTTCACGCACATATTCGGTAGTTTTACTGTTTAGATATCTCCTTTTTATTTACGTGTTAGTAAATTGTTTAGTTGTGTATTTCTAATAAGTATCAATTTTATATAAAAATAAGAATAAAAATATATTGATCCGTTTTTGTGTTGCATTCATGCACGTATCCGATGGGAATCCCATGAATGGTAAAATATTTGTTTTATTTATTGAGAACTGCAAATTATATTACAATTTAGGCAAAACGTCACTATTGATGAAATTAAGTTATGGTACTTCCAAATTTTGAAAAGTTAACGTGCCACAGTAAAGTGACCAAACGTTTTAGACAGCCGTTCTCGGCACCAAAACATACTCCATCATGTTGCTTAAGCATGTTCTGAATCGTAAATTGATATCCCAAAAATCGAGTGTTCTCTGATTTTTTGAACAAGTGTCTGCTGGAGCAGATTTTTCTAGAAAAATTCGAATAACTCGAGAATTGCAAAAAAGTAAAGTTATTTATAAACTTTGAAAACAAACAAATCCAAATATGTAAAAATATACAGGTGTTCCATTTAAAAAAATGAAGTAGGTGGCGACTTCCGGTATAACCGGATGTGCAAGAAATCTGAAAATATTTTAGTCGAAGAGATCGTAATTGATAATACTTAAGTCTGAATTCTCAAATTTTTATTTTCGCCAGAACCCCAGAAACGTCTAATGACCGGTCTCGCTGAGACACCCTGTATATACTATCAAAGCCAACAAAATATGATATAAAAATCTTTTGCCTTGCTGACGCAAAGCTTCTTTATACTGCCAACATGGAGATCTATTGCGGCCAACAACTTGACGCACCTTACAAGAAAAGTAATTCTACGCAGACAATTGGTTTACAAGTTTGAAAGTTGTACAAGCTTTGGAAAAGAAGAAAATATCATACGTTGGAACTGTTCGAAAAAACAAGAGAGAATTATCACCAAGTTTTGCTTTGCCAAAACGTAGAGCACAGTATGACAGCATTTTCGGTTACAAAAGAAACGAAACCCTTGTCTCCTACTACCTAGTGCAAGAGACGTGGATAATAAATTCGAATAACGTATTCGAAATAAAATAAAGATATACAACAAATGTGTTCGTACCCATGTGTTTTACAAATTATTAAATGTTAACTTTGATTCAAGCTAAATATTAGTTTCCTTTTTATACCCTAATATTTTCAGGTATAAAATACTTTAATAAACCAACTTGCTGTAAAACAATTTAATTTATAATTCAAAGTATGTATAATATAGAAATTGCATACAGTTTCGCGGAAAATCGCGGTTCAGTAAAGCCGGGTTTATACAGACGATTTAACTGTAAATTTAAATTTAAAAATTTAGCTGTAAGAGTTAAATGTATTGAAACCCCATATATGGTTTATACAAAGCTGTAAGATTTAGCTGTAAACATAAAGTTGGTCAACTTTTCTAAATTTACAGCGTCACACATGCGCAAGACAACCTCAATCAGCTGTAACCAATGATCGGCCGGTGTAAATAGCGCGTTCTAACCTAACCTCATCTGTTGTTTATTTCTGTGCCAACAAAATGAGTGAATTCGATGAAAAATTAATTAAAATTGTTAAGAACTACCGATATATTTACGATAAAAAATGTTCTGAACATAAAGATAAGATATTGGTAGAAAATGACAACACAAAAACCAATAATATTTTGTTTCTTGAGGTTGCGATTCTGTAAATCTTAAATTCTGTATAAATCAATTTTTTTCTTAAAGCTAAATAAAATCCTTAAATCTAAATCTTTAAATTTAAATTTACAGCTAAATTCTGTATAAACCCGGCATATGTCGAAAACGGCTGGATGGATATCCTCGCGGATTTGACCAAATATGTCAAATAATGTTGGTTGTTGGATTCCGTTATCAGTTTTTCAAAATTAGAACTTCCTAATTTTTTAAGAGTGAATTAATGGAATTACAAATTAAAGAGAAACAGAAATAAGCTCTGCGGGGCGACGGGGTTCCGTCCAATCGGAACAGATGGTGCGTCCTAGACAGGACGTCGCGCCTTATTTCTTTATGTAGATAAGATAAAGGCGCGACGTACTGTCTGGGATGCACCATCAGTTTGACGGATTTTAATGTTTTACATCTCAAATTAATGCCTGCGTCTGGCTGAATGTATATGTCAAAATGCCCGATTCGAAATATTTAAGGATTTTGATTAAAATGCAAAAAACGAATTAATCAAACACATTAATTATCTTCTTAATTCATTGAAAAATGCAAAATACGGGGGAAAAATTAAAAATGCATTTTAATTTAAACAAAAATGGTTTTTTTTCTAGCCTTCTAGTTAAATATTTCGGTATAGCTTCTCAACAGTGGACAACTCATTAAAAAGGCGGGTGCAGGGCACCCCTTACACCCCCCGGTAGCGCCGCCCCTGCATAGCTGTATAATTAAGATGTAAATTTATATTTATGGAACAACATCCTCAAAATACCGTCTATAATAGTGCTGTTTCAAAAACTGCAATAACTTGTATAAACTCTGCATTGATATTGCAATAATTAGACATATAATTAGAAATGTGCGTGGTGTTTAACATCAATGTGCATACAGCACTTCTTTACAGTAACAAACGACAACTCTCCACATTATTATACTAATTTTAAAGTATAGGTCAAAAAGCACTCCGATTCGTGAGAGGCAAGGGGACTCACGTTCAAAAAGCACCCCATTGGGATGAGAACCCTATCACGTTCACGTCGTGCATCCTGGGTAACGCTAACAATAAGAAAGGATTGATAGTTACTTGCATCACTACTTGTAGTGACGAGTTTCCTTGATTCGTTACTGTTAGGGGTAGTTTTTGATATTAACTGTTTCCTAGAAATCCGTCTTAAAATTGTCAATTGTAAAATTTTTAACAACTGTGTACAATTTTTAAAAAAATGCGCCCCTCCATTTTGAATTCTTGAAAACAGACATCAGATTCGTCATCAGCGACCCGTAAAACCCCTAGTGACATGATTTCGCAACAATCGTAAAAATAATTCGTAAAATAATCGCACTTATCTCCAAAATCGGAAAGGTTGATTTCTACCCTTAAAACGGCCATCGAGCAAAAATGACAATATACGTGTCAAATATTTTTCCATACACTACTTGTATGCCAAATTTCAAGAAAATCGCCGTATGGCACTTCAATACTGTTACTTGTAAGTAATGACCTAAACCAAAACGCAGTACTAGCTGTTAATCACTTCCTTATCAGTTTCACCCACATCTTGAATTTCAGCAAATTTTTGAATTGTTATTGTCCAAAAATATAATAAATGGACTTGTTCATGTCGCTTGTGGACGAAGCGTTGAATTTGATATATCAACACAATATCGTCATCTCTCACCCGCAAGCGATCTGGCGATTTGAGGCAAAAACGTTCCTTATACATCTTGATCATGATATAAACTCTCTTATAAGAAGATATTTAGCTTCAAATCGCCGAGATCGCTTGCGGGCGAGGCGCTTAATTTGATATATCAACACGACATCCTCCTCTTTGGTGGATTTAGCGCCTCGCCCGCAAGCGACCTCGGTGAAATGAGGCGAAATCATTCCTTATACAGGATGATTTATTAGCTCAACATCAAACTTTGACATATGATAGCTAATCCAATTACCAAAAAAAAATGTTAATGAACATATATGTCCTATTTCAATTATTTACGAAATTATACCACTTTAAATTTTTCTGCAACGAATTTATTAATTGTCAGTACAAGAAGAAACTCAAAATGTACGTTTATAGCACTGAAGAGTATGCTGATATAATTTTCGTGTATGGTTCTTGCATTGGAAATGCTCGACAATCAGTACGAGAATTTTAAGAAAGAGTTCCACAGCGTCATTTGCCAGATTATTCAGTTTTGAGTGATTCTTTCAAAAGACTTCGAGAAACAGATAATCTTGCTCCAGCAAAAGCTATTCGACCGCATATAGTTAATGTAGAGAACAAAGAAGCTGTAATTCATGTTGTCATTGATAATCCTTCCATCAGCACTCCAAAATAGCACACAACATACATGTAAGTAAAAATTTTGCGTGGCGCGTATTGAACCACGAAGTCCTTCATCCGTATCGTAAATAGAATGTTCAAGCTCTACAGCCAAGAGATAATCAGCAACGGTTAGCATTTTGTAAATTGTTATTGCAGCAACATGCCCAAAATAATGACTTCATTTCAAGTGTTCTCTGGACAGATGAATCATGTTTTACACGAGATGGTATAAATAATTACCATAATGAACATATCTGAGCATTACAAAATCCGGATGCGATTAGACCAAGGAAATTTCAACAACGTTTCAGCATCAACGTTTGAAGTGGAATATTTAACAACAATTTACTAGGTTTGCATGTACTTGATGGACGTTTGAACGCTGTGAATTACAGATTTTTCTTGAACAATACACTTTTTGATTTACTTGAAGTTATACCTCATAATGTAATTCAAAATATGTGGTACCAGCACGATGGTGCCCCACCTCATCGCGGAAGAGTAGTTGTACCAATATTTATCAAACAAGTGGATTGGTAATAATGGTCCATTTGCTTGGCCACATAAATCCTCCAACCTTAATCTGTTAGATTTCTACTTATGGGGTCAAATGAAACAAATTGTGTATCAAGTGGAAATTAACACACGAGAAGTTATTAAACAGAATACAATTGGTTGCTACTGAAATAAGAAATCAACCAGACATTTTAATTCGGCTGAAGAACTCTTGAATTCGTCGTTGTGAAGCATGTATTCTAGCAGAAAGAGGCTATTTTGAACAATATTTGTAATATTTATGTATTTTAAAAAAATTTATCAGTTAATTATGATATAAAAATTAAACCTTTAAACTGTTATAATTTCGTAAGTAATTGAAATAGGACATATGTTCATTAACATATTTTTTTGGTAATAGACAACCTAAGTCTTGATGTCACGGAAAGAATTTTTCAATTAGTGTTAAAATAAAATAAACTAACTTTTTAAATGACATTTGTAATGATATTTTTATAGCAATTAATCGTTAGCAACTGTGGTTAGCAACGAAATTGTTTGGAGTCGGTATAAGCTCCGCCCATCTCTGTGACGTCAGACTATTGGATTAGCTATCATATGTCAAAGTTTGATGGTGAGCTAATAAATCACCCTGTATGTAGTGGTTAAAATTCAACTTCTTTTATAAGAAGATATTTACCTTCAAATCGTCGAGGTCGCTTGCGGACGAGGCGCTGGATTTGATATATCAACACCAGATCGTCATCTTCGGTGATTTAAGGAGAAATCATTCCTTATACATCTTGGTTGAGATACAAACTTTTTTATAAGATCATATTTAATTTCAAATCGTCAAGGTCGCTTGTGGGCGAATCTTTAGTGGATCTAGCGCCTCGCCCGCAAGAGACCTTGGCGATTTGAGGGGAAATCGCATGTATGTTTTTTTTTTTGTTTCAATATTTTAGTATTCTTCATTTTGGTCTTGATTTTAATTATAAAACACATATCTAAAGATTGGCGAGTTAATATTGACTCCTCACTCGCAATATATATATAAAAAAAATTCAGTGTGTTAAAAAGTGAAAAAAAAAACTATTTCGAGTTAATGACTCGTTTCAAAATATCATTCTCAGGATAAAATAAATAGAAGATATCGCTATTACGTCATTTCAATATTTAAACTGTTGTTTCTCTCATTAAATATCATTTTTGTGGTTATTAAGATATCATTCTCTTAGTATTTACCCGGAAATAATCGTTTGGACTCATCTTAAATTTTTTAGTTTTAATCTAAATCATTTCAAAAAATTAACCAACCTATACGGATGTTTTAGACAACCATACGCGTCTCTATACCGTCCATAAAGCGTACCATAAGAAACGCCTAGCAATTCGGCGGCGATTTTCATTTCGAGATTTTTGTTTTTGATCGCGTCCATGACGCGTTTCGTAAACGGTTCCTCCCAAAATTGCTGTCTTCTGCCGGTATTTAAATAATCGTTCATTTTGATCACATCCGGCCATTCTTTCTCCAACGCCGACGTTAACCCGCTTCCCGCGGTGTTATTTGACGCGGCCGTTCGATTCGCATTTGATAGTTTTGATGAATCCGATGATGATTTCGATTCGGTTACGCTGATTGGATCTATTGCGTCGTTTACCATTTCTTCGTCATCAGATTTCTGGGAAAATAAAAAAATTATTTAATGATATTTGTTTTTTTACAAATTGAATATACATTTAAACTAAAATTAGAACTAACACTAAGGGGCAGTTGTACCACCTCCCGATAAGTTTATCCGATAGATAAATTGGCGCACTTAGGCTCGTTACTACCATCTTCTGGTTAGGCTATCTAAGGGATTATTACCAAGGTTACGACTATTTTACGCGCTCTGATTGGCTAGTAGATGGATTTATCTATAAGATAAATTTAACTAAAAGATGGTAGTAATGGACCTTAGCCAATGAGAGCGCTTAAAACCGCTGTAACCATGGTAATTATCCGCTAGATAGTTTATCGGGAGGTGGTACAACCGGCCCTTAGACCGAGAACGAATGAATCTAGTTCTAGGTCTTGTGTTAGCTTCTAGGGCTTGTGATCATTCGGGTTTAGCCGTCTTGAGAGACGTGTGGCTAAATCCGAATGTTTCTAGTTCTCGGTCTAGTGTTAAGTTCGAGTCTTGCAATAGCACTATCACTAGAACTAACACTAGATCTAGAACTAGAAACATTTGGGTTTAGCCGCTCGTCTCTCAAGACGGCTAAACCCAAATGTTTCTAGTTCTAGGTCTAGTGTGAGTTCTAGTCTTGCATTACCACTGTCACTAAAACTAACACTAGATCCAAATCTAGAATCATTTGAGTTTAACCGTCTTAGGAGACGCACGACCAAACCCGGATGTTTCTAGTTCTATATAGATCTAGTGTTAGTTTTAGTGTCAAAATTAAAACTTTAACTAACACTAGACCTAGAACTAGAAAGTTTCTAGTTTAGGCGTTCCACACCTGTTTTCCACCTTAGGGAGTCAAAATAAGTTAGAATATATTTAGAATCCATGTTGCATGTTTCAATTTCAATATTTTAAAAAACTTCTTAGTTGCATTAAAATAATATCACTGATCATCAGCCGAATCTACGTTAAAAAACATATCATATGACAGGAATTTGAATCTAAAATAAGTAGAAAAAGTAATATATTTGCAACTTACCGTCATAAAGATAAAAATAAATCACGTGAAAGTTTATTATTAAATAATTTACATAAACACAGAAGCGTACTATGTAGTAAAATAATTAATCTAGAAGAACACAATATTTAAGAAAATTACACTTTAAAATGAAAACGTTTTCTGCTTATTTTATATTCAAATTCCTGTCATATGATATGTTTTTTAACGTAGATTCAGCTGATGATGAGTAGAACACTGCTCGAAACCGGTACCGAATAAATATATTATTTTGAAGCAAATAAGAAGTTTTTTATTTTTGAAACATTAAAATAAGTTAGGTTAGAAAGTTTATCGAATAAGTGACATGAAGTGTCAATAGTAACTAGCATAAACTTTACAATGCAAAAAACCCTAAAAGGTTACTATAATTTGACAACATCTTCGGGTCGTGCTACATAAAAGAAAGAAAACAAAACATCATACACAGCGGAATATGATGGACGGAGACGATATAGAAGAAATAGAGTTTAATACTTATATTTCAGTAATTATGACTCAAAATGAAAAATATTAATTGGCTGAACAACCCAACCTAACTACGCTTCATTTACCTGAAGATAATGAATAGGAATTTTCCAAAAAACTAAACTTGAAAGATTCGATTAGAATGATGCTAGCCTACTCACCTACTCATTTTTGTAAAAGTTATTTATATTTATTTAATAACACTGATCGTCTAGGTTTTTGCCCTACTGATTCTGAATGCTAATTATCACTTTACAACAGTAAATTTGTAGTTTACATTTTTTTGGTAAACCACAAAGCAAGTAACTAGTGCTCTGTAATCAACATCTAGTCTTCTGATAACATATCTAGTGTTCTGCATATAGTCTTTCATTAACAGTACCTAGCTTTCTGCCAACAAAACTAGTCTCTTGCCAGCAGCATATAGTCTTCTGCAATCAATATCTTGTCTTCTACTAGCACTGTCTAGTTGTTGCCAACAGATCTAATGCTCTGCCAGTAGTGTATAGTTTTCCGCCAGCAGTATCTAGTTTTCTGCAAATAGTGCCTAATCTTTTATTAGTTGTATTTAGCATTTCATTAGTAATATCTAGTCCTCTAATAGCAATACCTAATTTTCTTGCAGCAATATTTAGTCATTTGCAGTTCTCCAGTATCTTCCTCTTCTATATTTTCCTAGCGAGATCCACCACCAGATTTTTTTTAATGTAACTACTTTCGATGCATTAAGTATTAGATTGTAATATGTAACTCAAAATACACTTTCTACACTTCTATTTCGACTTCTTTTCCGAGAACCTAGGAACCGTTAGCGGCGAACATGGAGAAAGGTTCCATCAGAATATTTTCAACAAGGAATGGAAGTATGTTGGCAGATTTTCAAGTCAACTACTCCAGAAAATCTTAACTTTTAGTTTTAAAAAACATTTCAGACAGAAATTTTTTCCACACCTTTTTTACACCTTAGGGAGTCAAAATAAATGACAATTATCTACTCACCGGGAAAATTAGGTTAGAAAATTTATCGAATAAGTGACATGAAGTGTCAATAGTAACTAGCATAAACTTTACAATGCAAAAAACCCTAAAAAGTTATTACANTTATCTACTCACCGGGAAAATTAGGTTAGAAAATTTATCGAATAAGTGACATGAAGTGTCAATAGTAACTAGCATAAACTTTACAATGCAAAAAACCCTAAAAAGTTATTACAATTTGACATCTGTCAAATTTTTTATTCCAAAACTTGACTTGGTTAAGGCCACTTTACAGTAAGCAATTTATCTTTTTGAATATCAATTTCGATTTTCATTGAAAAATAACATATATACCGGTAATTTCATATAATTCGCAATATATGAATGCAGTAACCATAGTTACGAAACTACTATGCATTTACACTGTCCCACATAAAATGCAACACAGCTTAATAGTACAGGTATTGGGCAATTTTGCAAAGCAAAAATTTGCTTGGAAAAGGTAATGTCCTTATGATAACTCTGAGTTTCCGTCTTAAGAGACGGCTAAACTACGTCTGTTACTAGAACTAACACTAGACCTATTTCGAGTTTCGAGATTCGAGTTTAGCCGTTTTTAGAGACGTGCGGCTAAACCCGAATATTTCTAGTTCTAGATCTAGTGTTAGTTCTAGAGACAATACTAATGCAATACTAGAACTAACACTACACCTGCAACTATCACTAGTTCTAGTGGCGTTAGATTGTTGTATATTTCTCATTAACCTAAAACTAGAACTAACACTAGACGTAGAACTAGAAACATTCGGGTTTAGCCGTCTTGAGAGACGCACGGCTAAGCCCGAATGTTTCTAGTTCTACGTCTAGTGTTAGTTCTAGTTTTGCATTACGACTGTTACTAGAAATAACACTAGACCTAAATCTAGAATCATTCGGGTTTAGCCGTCTTTAGAGACGTGCGGCTAAACCCGAATGTTTCTAGTTCTAGATCCAGTGTTAGTTCTAGAGACAATACTAATGCAATACTAGAACTAACACTACAACTACAACTATCACTAGTTCTAGTGGCGTTAGATTGTTATATATTTCTCATTGAACTAAAACTAGAACTAACACTAGATGTAGATCTAGAAACATTCGGGTTTAGCCGTCTTGAGAGACGTGCGGCTAAACCCGAATGATTCTAGTTCTAGGTCTAGTGTTAGTTCTAGTGGCAGTGATAATACAAAACTAGAACTAACGTCTAGCGTTAGTTCTAGTTTCATACTAGCACCGCCACTACAACTAACACTAGACCTAAATCTAGAATCATTTGAGTGTAGCCGTCTTGAAAGACGTGCGGCTAAATCCAAATGTTTCTAGTTCTCGGTCTAGTGTTAGTTCTAGTTTTAGTTTAATTAACATTGACCGTGAAATTCTTTGTACTTATATGAGTATACGTTTATTAATAATTTGTTTTTACGCATTACTTTATAATAAACAACTTTAATAATTCTTGTTAGAAAAAGATTTATTTATAGTAACTTTATTAAATGAAATGAAATATTTTGTTGAGCAATGACTAAAGAATTAATGAAGGAAGTGTGAATGTTTAAGAATTGAAATAACAAAAAAAGAGAGATTATAAAAAAACTTTAGTCGAGGTCACAATGAATTTGAGTCATTCGTTTTTCATTTCGTTTCATTTCAAGTTAACTCAGGTTTATTTCTTTTTTTTTTATTTTAATAATTTTTTTGTGTAAATATATTCCATTTCGAAACGTAATTATTTTTTTCTTGAAAATCGCTTCCTCGACGACGGTATGAAAAGGAAAAAATCTATATCCCCACCCAAAAAGTTTTTCCCTTTTTTCTCCCCGCTGTACCCCGCCGGTTTTTCCTCTCTTCTAGAAACTCGGCGAGCAGCGGCAGCAGCAGTGGCGGCGGCGGCGATATTTTCCTTCCCATTTTTTTTGTTCGTTTCGCTGAATTTTTTATTGCGTCATTTTTATAAAGTATTGATCGGATCGCCGGCCAACAATAAAAATAAAAATTCTCCCCCTTCTCTCTCTCTCTCACTCTTCGCCGCCTCACCACCCAAAATATAAAAAAAACCCTCCGAGGTTATTTTTTTTGTGTTCACCCCTCCCTCTTTTCATTTTTGTTCGTTTCCCCCGGATTCAACGCGAAGCGGCCCCCTTTTTCTTTTCGAGGTTTCTTTACGTCGGAGACCCAAAAGCGACTTTTTTCCCCGGGAACTCGACATTAAATTTTGCTTACGTCACGCTCTATCTATCCCTCTTTCTCTTTCGGTTTTTTGTGCCTTTTTAATTTTTTTTTTTAATTTTATACTCTCTTTTTATATGTATTTTTTTTCTGGGAACGCGCTCGCTTTAGAACGTTCTAGAAAAATGTTATCTTTGTGTTGTGTTTTGAAACGAAATTGGAATGAAAAATAATTTTTTTTTATTTTTTTACAAAACGAGAGATTTTATTTTTGTAAATAGACAACGATAAGGTTTTTCGT